CGCCTTCTCGCCTGAGATGTTTGTGTGCATGGATTGTACATCGAAACTCACCAACAGTTCCGACCCCACCAACAGCTCCAACCCCACTTCATACGGCCCATCCACTTATTCACACAGTTCTGTGCTCTCGTTTGCTCCAGCATCGCCTAAGACTGTGTCACTGCAAGTGGGTTTGGTGAAACGTAATCATCCCCACCACCGGTACCGGATGCCGTCAGCAAAGGGTCTGACTTTCATTGTGCCCCCCACTTTTTTCCTACCCGCTTGTCAAAATCATAGTTTGGCAGTCTGAAATCTGGCTGCCTAACAGCCTTCCCTTCCCGTCCTTGATTCCGCCAAATTCGAGGAGTTAGAGCAGATTATTCACATGTCAGTGCCTGGGAATCTTCCTCTCCCTTGGCTTCAAACATGTGAACATTTATCCTCCCCCTCATCCCCACCCCCATTCCGTCTCATTCTTTGGCGTCCTGTGTCCGGCTTAAGTCGTAACCGCTGGCGTGGGAATGCACCGCTTCCATTTTTCCCATTGAATCGCGAAAAACACACTCATCTCGTCTGTCAAGTTGTCATTCCCAGCCAGGCCCTGGACACACTGGGAGGATGTCCCAGTGTCTTTTGGTTGCTATCCCCCTGTGGTCAAGCCTGTCACCTGCCACCAGCCACCTCCCCTTCCGACACAGGCACAAAAACTACACACGACACTAATTCGCACCCACCTTAAGCCTTTAATTTCATACCCCACGACCCCTGCGACCAAATTTTTGCCCAATTCCTGTTTTGACTCCTCTTACTGCAGTCGCATTTTCTTCACTTTCATTTGTTGCTCATGAGGCGCTCCTTGGTGATGTCTCTTCCTGTCGATGAACAGTTTTCCAGGCTCCAAGCCTCCTTTTGAAGTATTCCTTGAATCGCCAAGTCTGCTCAGGCAGTTCGCGAAATTATCTCTCACCCTCACCTCTTCCAATCTCCTGTTCATCAGTTTTCTTTGAAGAGGATGTCCACAGCCTCTCTGATCCTCCATTTTCTTATATCCTCCCCACATGAGGCCAGTCTCTCCGTTGCATTCCAGTCAATTGTGTGGCCG